GGAAGGAGGAAGGGGGAAGTGGGAAGTGGGAAGTGGAAGTTGGGGGGATGCAGAGGGGGCTTGAAGGGTAATGAAATCGTGCCACGTGGCTTCCCCAAATGGCATGCATTTCATTTCATGTCCGTTCTTTCTTTTCCGTTGCCGTTCCATTTTTTTCCGTTTTCTTGTGTTGTGTGTGTGTGCGTGTGTTTGTAGCATATGTAGCATGTGTGTGTCACATGAGTTTCGCACGAGCACGACACGTCATACTCATGCTACTCCGACCAAAAGCGTCGGCACAGTGTGAGCAAAAAAGCAAGACGCGGGAGGCAATCTTTCAACGCGGCGGGGTAAAACCACTCGTGTCCATTTGTGGTGAGGGTACTTATTTAAAGGGCTGTAAAGTCGAAAGCAGCCAAATATGCGAAGGCAGTAAGACAAAATGAGGGGGGTGGGTGGCGCCTACTCTTTTTCAGACAGACCAGAACACATGCAATAACACCCCACAAACAAACGGAGGGAAGGGGGGAAGGCAAAGGACAACAAGGCAAAGGGCAGGGAACCAACACCATAGCATGACAAACCACAACACGACACATGAACTTAAGAGGCACGAGAGGAGGAACAAACAGCGAGGCAGCACATAGGGTGAAACGCATGGGGGAAGCACATGAACTTAGAGGCATGAGAGAAGGAACAAGCAGTGAGGCAGCACATAGGCTGAAACATATGGGGGAGGCGGGAGGGCATAAGTACAAGTATCGAAAAACAGCAAAGCGGCCAGAAGAACAGAAAACAGCAAAGGACAGGCTGGAGGGTAGAGGGGAGGAGGGTGGGCAAACAAACAGCACAAGGCAAGAAACAAAGACCGAAAAAAATAAAATAAAAAAACTGATGATGATAGATTTTTTCGTCGGAGTTGCACCGACTCATCAGGAGGATGAACCCTCGACAATCTGCGGAATCCCCATATTTGATGGTTTGGGTCATGAACACTTTGACCCATGTTGAAGGCAGACTGTCCGCAAGCGGGACATAGCAGTAGGCAGCAACCCTGTGGAGCACCAGGCAACACAGTAGAGGCAGCCCAACCGCTTATCACCAAAGACGACTGCAAGGAACGACAGGGCAAGCGGACGAGCAGCTCAGCAACCGTGCGGTGAAGCACAAGGCAACATCAGCAAGGCGACGACACTACAAAGCACGCAAGCAAGTAAAGGACGCGGAAGGCCAACAGGGCAAGCAGACGAGCAGCTCGGCCACCGTGCAGTGAAGCACAAGGCACCACCAACAAGGCAACCAAATTACAAGGCATGCACGCAAAGGACACTGAAGGCCGACAGAGCACATGGACAAGCAGCTCAGCAACCATGCAGCGAAGCGCGAGGCACCACCACAAGGCTACCAAACCACAAGGCATGCGAGCAAAAGACACGGGAGGCACGACCCGCGGGTAGGCAGCAAGGCAGCAGAGCAGCGAGGAAGACCTGCAAAGCAAGCGGCATGGGCAGCAAGACCGTGGCAGAGCGCAGACAAGACAGTCTACACATCCAACACGGAGCAAAGCAGCACATGACCTACTCACATCACGATAGAACCCCACAGATTGTTGGTTCCCACCACCCGCTGAGCCAGGGGGACACTCCGACGACCATCCATCATCACCTACAGGCAACACAGACATCCCGAACCGAGCGGCCCCCATAAGAGTGCAGTAGGCACTCCAAACGAGGAACCATCGACTGTTTGGCAATACTTAAGGGTGCTCAGTTGGGGATACAAAAAAATACATAGAAAACATCAAGGGGAGGACATACAACAGAAGAAAGACTGACAAACATA